TGATGAATATAAAGTTTAAATGAGCATTGAAACATTATACATGTCTTTACTGTAAATTTTGATCAATTTAATGCATTCTTCCTAGATTAAAATTAGAGCCCGACCGATAAAGGATTTTGAAGGCCGATACCGATACAAATATTTGTTGGTTTTAAAATCCGATATCGTCCGATATATATATATATTTTTTCCAGAAGCGCACAACAAAACACTAACAGATTTCCCTAACATTAGTTATTTGTAGTTATTTATGAGTTTTAACTAAAATAATATGATAATGCATTTTAAAAAGAAACTTGTCACAACAGAACAGAGGAACATCAAAATATATTAAAGTTCTGATAAATAAAATAATAATTAGTCCCTACATTGCCTTATAAGATACCTGCAACCTGGATCAGTAGGTTGCAGGATGTGTGGTGCATAATACACAAATATTGCCAACAGGAACAGTGTAGAGTGCCCTCTGGTGGACAAACTATACAACTCCAACACTCATGACATGGTTGACGCATGTTTCGTCCGTTTTTATTTTATTTTTGAAATATTCATTTATCGGCCATTACCGATGCCGATACCGATAGTTTGGAAAATGCCTAATATCGTCCGATAATATCGGCCTGCTGATAAATCGGTCTGGCTCTAATTAAAATAATAATTTCTTCTTTTTTTAAATTAAACTTACAACAAACCTTTGAATGGAATTGTATAAATAGCAGGAAAAAGCCCTATTCGGACAGTAATTATTCATCAGGAGGTTGTCTGTAAATAATAATACTTTGTGTCGCTCTTTAGAACATAAAACTCACGCATTCAGATCGATCATGCATGCAGGACAAACCTAAGTTTACTTCTTACATAGTATGGATTAGATACAGTAAAGATCAATTGTTTTAATTTACTGTATAGAAAATATTATACATAAATACATATAAATCATAAATGCACAAATATTTAAAATTGCTGGCCTTTACGAGAAACTCTTCAATAAAATATATAAACAAATAGAAAATGTTACGCTTGGCTTTACACAACTGTTTCAGCCATTGTTAAGTGTGAATGGCTGTCACATAGCAGTGGTTGAAAAAGATTTTTCAATCAGTTCCTCCTTCTAAACTTTATTGATTCAGAAAGGAATTCAATTCCTATACACGACCATGGAGTTTGTCTAAAAACAGTACTTAATTCAGCCTGGAATTTTCTCCAGGGACATAAGAAAAAAACACAAACGTTTTCGAATCAGATGGCAATTAAATCACAGACTGCCACCTGTAAATGCTGAAATTACTTTACGTCCCCCTGGGAAATAATTACTGCAGGAATAGGGCTTTAGAGCAGTATGCTAGCTAGTATGCTTTTCCAAGCATAGCCTTTCTCTCTCTCAAACTGCATGGTTTTCCTCCAGAAATCCATCATTCTCCTCCTACACACTCTCTACTCCTCTCATGTGTGTGTGCTGTGGAAAACATGCTACACACAAACAGCACCACTAATGTGTAGGCTTTCACACATGCTAAAAATTCTGCTGGCAGTGGCACTAGACTGCCTTCGAGTTATGCAATTACAATGACAGACATCTTATCTGAAACACTTTTACAAGCGCATGGTGCGATTATATCTAAAAACAAGATCAAAACTAGACTATATTAGTGTCATTATTGTTAACTAAAACAAAACTATTAAAATTGCCTTTGTTCAAGATAATATAAAATATAAATATTAGACTTCAGCTAAACTGAATTATTTAAAAAAAAAAGATAAATGACAAAAACAAAATTGCTGACACACACTAAAATGAGAATAAAAACTGATAATATAAAAAATAAAAGCTATTTTAAAATACAAATAAATAGTACAATAATATATAAATCAACACTGCTGGACTACAATAGTAAGCAAAGGTTTTTTTAAATGTCAAAGCAAATCTGATGCGAATATCAAATTACTAAAATGTCAAAAAAATAAAAAGAAAAAGAAAATATTCATTTGACACAAGTTGCGGTAGAGCTGCAGCAATTAATGCACACATTTTTTGTGACATTTACACAGGAATTTGGCTTGGCCAATTAGCAACTAAATGTGCTTAATTAAAACCAACCAGAGCACAGATGCCAAGTGTCACAGATGAGTGTTTCCAAGACGACGCAATACATATACTGTCATCATCACTTGCAAGAAATAACGGTGCTTTTGACTTGGGTTAGTAAACAACAACATAGCAGCCACTCAGAATACATTGGTGACCATCTACATTGTAAAAAAATATTGTTGGTTTAACTTTAAAAAAAAAAGTAAGTAACCTGGTTGCCTTAAAATTTTAAGTTCATTGAACTGGAAAAAGTGAGTTAATACAATGAAGGGGAATATCAGAAACTCAAAATGATATGTTATCTCAACTAAATAAATTATTTAAGTTGATTTGACTAAATAAAAATGTTGTGATTACCACACTGTAAAAATATTGTTGGTTTAACTTAAAAAAGTAAGTGACCTGGGTTGCCTTAAAATTTTAAGTTGATTGAACTGGAAAAAGTGAGTTAATACAATGAAGGAGATTAATTTAATCATCAGAAACTCAAAATAATAAGTTATCTCAACTAAATAAATTATTATAAAGTTGATTTGACAAAAGAAAATATGTTGTGATAATCTTGAAAATATTTTTTTACAGTGTAGTAATGACCCAGAACAACTTAGCATGCATTGAATTAGCAACACTAGCATCCACGGACACCAATCTTGCACCATTGCATTGCACACTTTGCATTATCTTGTCAGGTAAAAATGGAAGGACAATTTAATGTTAATAAAATTGCAAGTTCATTTCATTTCAGTTCTCAGACTTATAATTTCACCACTATAACAGCAAAAAATATTACTGAAGTCAGAACCACCGCTGCTCTTTCCCAAATGTCCCAAATCTGCTGGTGTAATTACAATCTTTAAAACTGTGCTAAGGTGAGGGGAAGTGAAGGCAAAATCCATAGCAGGAGACTTTTGCCTCTGTTGGTAAAATAAAAATAAAAATAGCAAGTCACCATTTGAGTGTTTCACTTTCAGCGGTTAAGAGTATTCAGAGCAAAAAAAAACCCAAAAACAATCATAAATCAGCCTACAGCCACCCTTAGCCTTGGTATATCAACATTACATTACATGATATGAATATTACATGAGTTTGAACTATTACCACTGATAATGTACCAACTACCTTAATTATAGAGAATAGAGATATCAAATATTTGATCGCCAACACATTTACCAAGCTAATATTCAACAACAGCAGCTACAAATGAAATCAATCAGCTTCACTTAACTGCCAAACGTGTTCTTTTAACACAGACTTTTTAAAGGACAGAAGGATAAGATGTTTGCTTCAAGTGATAGGCTAGGTTAGTGAAATTATATTGTTGTAATGTAAATGTGTCATTTTATTTACACCTTCTTCCGTCTAAAAGTGACCCCAAAAAAAGGAGAAAAAAAATCCTGGAGAGGGGATCCCCAGACCTATACTGTGTAATTTAGTGTGACAGACTAAATTAAAAACCACCAGCTGACGCTGCATTTAAAGGGATAGTTCAACCAAATTCTGTCATCATTGGAGCCCATCATACACCCTGGCGCAATGCGGCACGACGCAAATGTTTTTTGCTAGTTTCAGCCTGACGCTATTATCATTTTCATGTCCTGCACCACGTTGTTTATAAAGCAAATACATTTTGTGCGCCCACGGATGTGCTGGTCTAAAAAAGAGGTGTGTTCAGGCGCATTGTTATATTGAGGCAACTGAAATAGACTGCACCATTGACCATATGAAACCTGGTCTAAAGTCAATGGCGCAGTATTTTGTTATTTAAAAGGCTTATTATGCAGCAGCACATAAACATGTCAAATATTAAAAAAATAAAAGGATTACAATGTAAAAGATTATTATTGTGTATAACGATATGGTGGAATTAGGCTTGTCCCGTAGATGGTCTACTTGAGCGCTTTAACCTTGCAATGAACTATCGTTCATTGAACGCGTTCAGGCACAACACTGTCCGTTAGTTAGTAGCTGGATTAAACATGGTTAAAATGCTGGCCAAACAGTGTAAATTGTGCGTGTATTTAACTGTAGACTAAAAGGTCCAACAGCGGGATGCCGTTGTCTGAAGAACAACAGACGGATGGTGCGTTGTGATGCATTTAAAGTTTTTGTAAAATATCATTTTCCCATCTTGTGGTTGTTTTTGTCATTCAACAGCAATTTACTAGTGAAATACATTATTGTTAGAAGTTCAATTAAATAAAATATAATAAATATTATATATAAAAAATTAAATCATCAAGTTTTAAATCATCAAGTTTTTTTTTTCTCCTTTTTTGTGATAATTAGGTTGTCCATTTGTCTTTGTCCGTCAACAAACAAAACAAACCAAAAATACATGTTTCAGGACATTTTTTGAGAGGATAAAATGTTTTTGTTGAGAAAGTTTGTCTATGTTAAGTAATAATTATCATTTCTTTTACATTTAATCTTTCAAATAGAGGTTAAAAAACCAAGCAAATATTGGCCAAATATCGGCCAAAATAAATTGGCAGCATTAATCGGCCATCGGCCAACCCGGATTTCAAAAGATCGGTATCGGCATCGGCGTGAAAAAAACCATATCGGTCGACCTCTAATTCGAACACGCTAAGTGCACTTGTGCCGTGTGCTTTAGACCATGTGCTTAGATTGTTAAAATAGGTCCCATTTACTCACCCTCAAGTTGTTCCAAACCTGTGTGAGTTTCTTTCTTCTGCTGAACACAAAATATGTTTTGAAGAATATTAACTAAACAGATGATGGGCCCCATTAACTTTTTTGGGTGAACTATCCCTTTAAGTTAGAAATTCTCACTTAAATGTGAAATGACATCACTTCAGAGTTGCTCCATGAGCACAATGGCATTCTACTGAGCAAATCTGATTCTGTGAGAAGAATACATCAGTATCCCAGCAGAGACGGGACCTCTTACCACGGCTCGGGCGGTGATCCAGCAGGGTACGGCAGTCCAGTGCCAACCTCCGGGTGGCAACAGGTTCCGGGACAGCCATGGTCATAAGAATATCAGCTCACAAACAACTCTTAAAGTCACAAAAATACTTATTTAGATAACCCCTTGGTTATCTATGTAAACTAATAAATGCAAGATATATAAGAGAGCAGCCTGTTGTCTTGCAACTCTAATGTCCTAAAGTACAGAATTCAGAAAGTAAACTTGTTGAACCAATACTCAGAAAGCCAAATCAACCAAAATAGAAACTCGCTGAAAAGCTCCCACTAACCACTTCTGAAATAATATTATTAAATCCTTCAAAATCTAGATTTTTTCAACGACAAAAAAACAAGGAAGCAAACTAAATCCTCTGTAAAGCGCCTGGTTCTTGCACTTTCTCAGATCTCTCGCTTTAAAGTCACTGAGTTTTTGCAGGATGTTCAGCTCACGGCATCCCTTCAGCTCCTATGCCTTGTCTCACTTGCCTTCTCACTGACAGCGTCTCCTCGGTCCGACAAACTCCCACACTCTCTTTCTCTCTGGAGTTTGAGACAATGACGGAGGAGGAATAGTGGAACTCATTGTGTCAGTGAGATGTTTATTAATGAGAGACAGAGTGCAAGAGAGAGAGAGAGAGAGAGAGAGAGAGAGAGAGAGAGAGAGAGATGCAAACTGGCAAAGTCCAAGGTCTGTCCTAACAAACAGGACTACAAGAAGTAGGCCCAAAAGAAACCTTCCAAAAACAAACCTCCAGAGTCTTCTGCAGAATAGAAATGACTATAATTGACAAATGTTTCCAGTTAGTAGCGCAGCACTCTCAAAATCTGAACAAAAGTTTGCAGATTCCATAGTCATAAAGTGATGGATATATCAATGGATCTTTTCTTTATGTATTGTGGCGTACATCCAGACAGATTATCAAACAAACAAACAAACAAACAAAAAAACAAAAATGTATTGTGTGCAAAAAACACAAAAATAACGACTTTATTCAACTATTCCTTTTTCTCCATGTTTTCTTCCAGAATTTCATTCTGCCAGGCCTCTGATGTGAGTTCCCGAGTCAGAATGTGCCGTGACGAACAACATGAGCTAAATCTGCATGTGGAACTTTTTCAGTAAAAATTCTAAACGTAAACATAAGGAAAATTTGATCAATAAGATGTGAAACAAAATATTGAATAGAGGGCAGGGTTTTACTTTAGCGCACCTCCTCTCCATCCCTCGCTCATAGCAGATTGACGAATAAATATATTCAAGGACAAAAACCTAAGCCGTCAAATGTTATCAGAGAAGGAAAGCCATTCCAGAGCAGAAGCAAATTTTCAGATTTTGATTCGCATGGATTAATTGATCACCACAAGACTAGTAATGTGCTCTGACAAAGTAATAGGGTCCATTTTGATTCTAAGACAACTTTAAAACTTTAAAGGACAGTTTCTTTGAAAAACAAATGTGGCGTTTCTGGACTGACAATCCTCATTTCTGGGAAACTGTCCATAAATGCTTCCACCAGACACACTAAATGACATGGACAATTAAACACAATAGTACTACATACTCTGAATGCTAACCAGCTAAATAAAAGCCTTTCAAATAACTCTTAAATAAAGATGCTGTTATACCTGCAAAACTCAAACAGCACAGCCAACCAAACATTCACCTCAGTCTAAATGTTGTAACCAGTTTCCAATTAGGTAAACGTTATAGTAACTACATAAATACTGTAGTTACTAGTTTACAATGGTGAATTTTAGTAGGTATTTATTCAGCTATATACATTCATTATGCGATTCAAAATGTTACCTGTATACTTCACACATGCATTGAACCTTGGATCATGTAGAATAAAGCTCATACCGGTCATGGTTGCTTTCAGATTACGCCAGATGTCGCTCTTGCACTCAACCAGTTATGCGACGCACCGGCGTCCAGCGGTCCAAAGCCGGACTTCACGCCAAGCAAGCGGACGCTAGTTTCCGTTCACTCACAGTAGGAAAGCCCCAGGATGGTGTGAGGCCTACCGCTAGAGAACATAGATGAGATTCAAAACAGATCCCTCTGCACTTGAACACTGCTTACATTTATAGGTACAGTTAACAACATGTTTGTGATTTTGTTGGTTTTATGAAATCAGTCCATTGTTGTGAAAAATGTTTTTCTTGTAGCTTTCCGGTCTGTTATTGTGAGCGATTTCTAACAAAACACGAATGTAAATAATTTTAGTAACGTTAATTAGCCAAATCACGTTTTAACTGCGTTTTTCTTTTCATTCAGTTAATAAAAGGACTTGATAATCCTCAAATAATGTGAACATCTCAGAAATTCATTGTCTAGTGTGTAATGTGTAACGTTACAGTTATTAAAAACAATTGTTTGAACATGCTCGTTTGACATATTAACACTTTCATAACTATATAAAAACCCTAATCTCATGTTTTTATTTCCTCACCGCTTGGTTTCAGTTGCATAGTCTGGTAGAATATTAAGGTCCTCTCATGATCCGTCAACGAGCCAAAATAAATATAAGTGGCTCGAATTCACTGCCTCTCATGTAGGCTAATGACGGTGGTTCCACACAGTAGTGATTCACACACACACACACACTTCCTCTGAAAGCTGCACTATTACAGGAAAGCTGCATAGAGGATCTCCCCACTTTCAGATTATTAATTTTTAACATCTAGTAATTTTAATAATAGTAATAAGACTAATAATGATCATCATCATCATCTTATTATTATTATTATTATTATTATGTAAATGCATGAGTATTAATAGTCAAAAAACAAATTGATTCATCATGCATTAAAGTGCCAGTTGCTGATTCATTTTTTTTATTATTAACAATAATAATGTGAATTAAAATGAATTGCTGAACACCTCCATATGAATTCATCATGAATAAAGTGTCAGTTGCTAATTCATTTTTTATTAATAATAACAATAATCCTGTGAATTAAAATGAATTGCTTAACACCTCCATATGAATTCATCATGCATTAAAGTGTCAGTTGCTGATTCGTTTTTTATTATTAATAACAATAATAATGTGAACTAAAATGAATCGCTGAACACCTCCATATGAATTCATCATGCATTAAAGTGTCAGTTGCTGATTCATTTTTTATTATTAATAACAAAAATACTGTGAATTAAAATTAACAGCTAAACACTTACAGTATAATTGGTAACACTTTACAATGAGTTTAGTTAACATTATTTAACTACATTAGTTAAAATAAACTAATAATGAACTGCTCTTCTGTTCTACAGTTTTTGATCATCTTTTTTAATTTCAACATTTCCTAATACATTATTACAATCAAAAGTCGTATTTGTTTATATTAGTTAATGCACTGTGAAGTATGAGTAGCCTAAACAATGAACAACAGCTCTATTTTTTATTAACTAACGATAACAAAAGATGAACAAATAAATATATTGCTCATGGTTAGTTCATGTTGGTTAAGACATTGATGGACAAATGAAATCTTATTGTAAAATCTTACCAAATAATTCATAATTTTCGGAGAAATGCCTCTTTGGGTTCCTGGAATCAATGGGAAAGCCTTTTTAAGAAGTCTTTTAATTGGGTTCGTGGGATCTCAATATCTCATCTCAGGAAGGATCTAGAGCCTCCATTTTTGCACTAAGGTCTAAGTCTCATTGGCCTCTATCAGAATCCAGAGTTTCAAGAAGATCAGAGAAACTCAAAATTTCGACTTTTCGGTGTAACCCTGTCGACTTTTTAGGTGCAAAAAAAAAAAGTTTCTCTGATGTTCTTAAAACTCTGGATTCTGATAGAGGGCCATGAGACCTCGAAGTCCTGACTTCCCCGATTTTCAACCCGCTTTGTTAGTATATGTAAATTAACAATGTTTACTTTCACTCCGTGTTTCGCCAAGACACCAGCAGACTTTTGGCAGCTTCAGATTGTATCCGTGCCCACGGACGTCAGATCGACAGAGGGTTATTAATTACATAGCCCCTAATGGACATGTTGGTGAAAAAAAGTGCATTTTGAGTATTCTCAAACCGTTGAGCATACACCAGTTGTACCCTCGCTATTGCAGTGCATTATGGGATTGAATGAGTGCACTCGATAACGTCCACAACACAACTGTCCTCTCAAATAAAGCCCTATTTAAGGTATAGGTGGCAATTTGAGTGTCCGTCTAAAAATGAATGCTTTGTAAGTAACGAAGACAAAACAACTGAATTGCATGGCATACAAATCAGTATTTATTAAATCATAATCTCAATTGTTTTGTCATTCTGTGTGCAAAAGACTTGCAAACACTGTTATACATATAAAATATACGAACAACTGGAAAACATGCACCTGACGGAGTATAATTTCACTTTTACAGGATAAGAAAATGGTGATAATTGCACTGAGGTGGAAGCATCAAACGGAGCACCATCTCGGTTTGTAATTTGGCTTCGGGGAGAGAGAAAAAGAACTAATGGCAATGTCTTTTATGAGGGAAAAGGACCAGCCCTCCTGAAATTACCTCCAGGACCATCTATTGAAAACGATTGGGTTGTTTTTTGGCCAAATACAAACAGGATGATGCATCTTAAAGGCCATAGTAAAGTGCAGTGGATAAAAAGCATGTTGTTTTGAAGGGTCTATACAAAAGAAGGCACAATGAAACAAGGCTTAGCCTCATTAGTTCAAACGATGGCACCGGTATATGTTCAGATCACTTGTATAAAAGTAGTACATTATATTATGTCTCTTTAAATGCATGCTCATATTTATCTTATATCAAAACTACAAGGGTCATTACAAAATGTGGAACATCCAAATGAACAACCAGACAATTATAATAATTAAAGCCCCCATATAATAAGATTCTTTAGACAATCTGTTGCTGCTGTTAAAAAAACTCTTGAGCTTGGCCAGTTTTCACATATGCTTTCTGAGACACTATCTTTGGCCTGAGATCGAAAGGATATTTTTATGGCACTGATAACAGGAATAGAAAAAACAGAGCAAGAATAATCATGTGAGAGGAACAGAAAATGAAGAGACACCGAGGCAGCTTCTGGACCGTTACATAGTAGTGAACCGACTGTGAGCGTGTCGTAGTTTCTCTGCAATCTGCCAAAACACAAAACCATTTTAATGGCTTTGACATATCCAAACATTATGGACGTTCTGTAACTTTTGCTGTCATTTAGACACTTTACCATCTCATAGAATTTGACTTGCTCCTCCAGGTACTGCTGCATCACCCTGTTGTAGTCATAGATACGGTTGCTATGGAAGTGGTTCATCTCCGCTGCAAAGAGGACAGGTGTGTTAAAGTCATCATGTAAAAGTTTCCAGCTGTGTGAATAAAGGCTTGATCACAGACACCTACGAACACCAGATAGTGTTGGGTTAACACTCTTTCTGTCCAATGAATTCACAGGATTTTTTAAAATAAATTATTATTTGTTGAAAAATACTAAAATATATATCCAGACTGAGATTCACACAAACCCCAAATTACAACATCGCATTAGAAAAGAGAGAAATAAAATAAAATACTGTTCAAATGTTTTGGGTCATTACAATTTTCTGGAAAGAAAATTAATACTTACATTTAGCAAGGATGCATTTAATTAAATCAAGTGTGACAGTAAAACATTTATGATATTACAAAAGATTTTAATTTCAAATAAATTATGTTCTTTTGAACTTTCTATTCATCAAAGGAAAACGATTCCCCAAAAAATATGAAACTTTAACATTGATAATAATAATAATAAATGTTTCTTGATCATATTAGAATAATTTCTGAAGGATCATGTGACACTGAAGACTGATGGCATTATATTTGACTACATACACAAATAGAAAATAGTTATTTTACATTGTAATAATATTTCTGTTTTTACTGTATTTTTGATCAGATGAATCACATGAAGCTTCGGTGAGCATAAGAGTGTTACAGGATTTATTAAAATATTGGATTTTATACTGCATTTAACTGTGCATATAGTATAAAATATGTATTACATACATACAGTAAAATACAGTATAAAATTCCATCCAGCCATTTTCTACAATTGCAGGTAGTATAATAAAATTAGGGCTGTCAAACGATTAATCGCGATTAATTGCATCCAAAATAAAAGTTTGTGTTTACATAATATATGTGGGTGCACTGTGTATAATTATTTTGTATATATATATATATATATATATATATATAAATACATACACACACGCATGTATATTTAAGAAAAAAATATAATTTATATAAAAAATATTTATATTTATATATAATATAAATTATATATAAATCTATATACAGTATATACATGAAAATATTTCTAAAATATAAACAAGCATATGTGTTTATTTATATATATATAAAATAATTATACACAGTGCACCCACATATATTATGTAAGCACAAACTTTTATTTTGGATGCAATTAATCGCGATTAATCGTTTGACAGCCCTAAATAAAATACAATCAAATTTTTAATGTTTGCAATTCATCCATACATTTGAACTGTGCATATACAGAAAAAAGTATATTGAATAAAGAAAAATGTCCTGGTCTGAAAATCACACTGCAGAAATATTATTATTTTCAGGCCTGTAGAAACCCTGTAATTAACTATTAACACTTGTTTATCTCAATTAAGACTGTTGTAAATTATAGTTTTGTTTCCAGCATTCTAATATCGTGTTAAGTTGGAGAGTCTTAATTACTCTAATTGTGACATGATGTTGTGAAAACCATTTCAAATCAAACGTGATTAACTACACCTCAGTTACTATGCATAGGCTACATATCAAGGGGGGTTACAGTGTCTAAATGATTTTTGGGGTCAGTGCAAGTAGGTCACAATACCTTGCAGAGCGTATGACATGGTGCTGGCACGTTTAGACATGGAGGTCTTTTCTGAAGGGCTGATTTTACTGGCGGCCACTAGTTTGTCGCCTTCCTTGACCTTCTCTATGGCAGCCTGTGCAAGAGAAAGACGCCCCAAAATGCAGTAAGTCGAATTAATTCTGCAATTTTCTGTGCTCTCATCCTCTTTTAATAGATTCAAACACCTAGTGAGCTGCCTCAAAGGTCACTTATGCGGATCTATGATGGTCAGGATGCTCACCAGGTTATAAAAAAGTGTGTCTATAAGAATGAAAAGAGACTCGTAGTTCTTTCATTTACCTTGTGAACTCCAATAGTGTCAGGAAAGCATCCCAGCAGACCTTTGTACTCATTGTTGGTTTCCATGAGGAAGTGAAGGTCTTTCCTAGGCTAGAAAGAGACAGACAAAACTAAATGATTAAAGCAGACACAAACACACCCAGGGTCACTTCAATCAACCGCTCACGAAAGGTTTACGTCACTCGAACACATGTCTATGCGCACACATGGATGCGCTCTTACGCACAAACACGAATTGGAATTCATCTGGACAAAAACAACCATTAACTGTTGGAGAAAATAGCTAACGAAACCAATTAATTCCCTTACAACTAGGCTCAAATAATCTTTAAGCAACAGGTAATTCAGGTGTAAAAAAATAAACGCATATAACATTGCATTTGTAGTATAAACACTAATACACTACAGGTAGTATCTGTCTGTTATTCAGCTGCATTTTTAAACTTAATATCTTTATAGATGCATTGGATCACATGAAGGGTTAACAGAGCTTTAAAAATATTCAATGTAACACTGGCGCCACAGGACCACTTACCAGACGAGTCCTTACAACTATCGCAGTTTGAAGGCCAAACAACAACCAAGTTTTCATTCATTGATACCGATGACGGTGACTAGCACAAGGCTAAATGATTGTGGACAGGCCTGAAGCAGAACACACACAACTACGGCTTTCTCCACCTATAAAGCAGCTTTTAGGGTCCTGATCATCCTGTTTTTGAAATTACCGTACTTATATTTGTAATAGTTTGTTTATTGAGATACAACAGCTTATGTCAGTGTAATACAACAATAACGTACCTTAAAAGGTTGAATCTCTTTTACATAATAAAAATAATAATAATAATGAAAATAAATAAATAGTAATAATAAATAAAATAGAAAATAAGGAAAAAGAAAAAAAATAATTGTAACAAAGAAAAAGAATATGTATACATGTACAACCCGAATTCCAGAAAAGTTGGGACGTTTTTTAAATTTGAATAAAATGAAAACTATACGACTTTCAAATCACATGAGCAAATATTTTATTCACAATAGAACATATATAATATAACAAATGTTTAAATGGAGAAATTTTACACTTTAGTCCACTAAATGAGCTCATTTCAAATTTGATGCCTGCTACAGGTCTCAAAATAGTTGGGACGGGGACAACAAATGGTTGAAAAAGCAAGAAATTTAGAAAGGATTCAGGTGGGAGAACATCTATAGCAACTAATTAAGTTGATATCAGGTCTGTAACATGATTAAAGGGATGTCTTAGAGAGGTAGAGTCTCTCAGAAGTAAAGATGGGCAGAGGCTCTCCAATCTGTGAAAGAGTGCGTAAAAAGATTGTGGAACACTTTAAAAACAGTGTTCCTCAACATCAAATTGCAAAGGCTTTGCAAATCTCATCATCTACAGTGCACAACATCATCAAAAGATTCAGAGAAACTGGAGAAATCTCTGTGCGTAAGGGACAAAGGCGAAGACCTTTATTGGATGCCCGTGGTCTTCGGGCCCTCAGACTACACTGCATCACTCATCGGCATGATTGTGTGAATGATATTACTAAATAGGCCCAGGAATACTTCCAGAAACCACTGTCGGTAAACACAATCCGCCGTGCCATCTCCAGATGCCAACTAAAAGCTCTATCATGCAAAAAGGAAGCCATATGTGAACATGGTCCAGAAGCGCCGTCGTGTCCTGTGGGCCAAGGCTCATTTAAAATGGACTATTTCAAAGTGGAAAAGTATTCTATGGTCAAACGAGTCCAAATTTGACATTTTTGTTGGAAATCACGGACGCCGTGTCCTCCGGACAAAAGAAGAGGGAGACCTTCCATCGTGTTATCAGCGTTCAGTTCAAAAGCCAGCATCTCTGATGGTATGGGGGTGCATAAGTGCATACGGTATGGGCAGCTTGCATGTTTTGGGAGGCACTATGAATGCTGAAAGCTATATAAAGGTTTTAGAGCAACATATGCTCCCCTCCAGACAACGTCTATTTCAGGGAAGGCCTTGTGTATTTCAGCAGGACAATGCAAAACCACAAACTGCAGATATTACAACAGCATGGCTTCGTCGTAGAAGAGTCCGGGTTCTGAATTGGCCTTGCCTGCAGTCCAGATCTTTCACCTATAGAGAACATTTGGCGCATCATTAAACGAAAAATGCGTCAAAGGCGACCACGAACACTTCAGCAGCTGGAAACCTATATAAGGCAAGAATGGGACCAAATTCCAACACCAAAACTCCAGACACTCATAAACTCGATGCCCAGACGTCTTCATACTGTTTTGAAAAGAAGAGGAGATGTTGCACCATGGTAAACGTGTCCCCGTCCCAACTATTTTGAGACATGTAGCAGGCATCAAATTTGAAATGAGCTCATTTAGTGGATAAAAGTGTACAATTTCTCCGTTTAAACATTTATGTTATCTATGTTCTATTGTGAATAAAATATTGGCTCATGTGATTTGAAAGTCGTATAGTTTTAATTTTATTCAAATTTAAAAAACGTCCCAACTTTTCTGGAATTCGGGTTGTATATAAAAATAAAAAACAGGCATAGGTCAAATAGGATAGCTACACATTAGTTGGAAGTAATCAGGCATACATGAGAAGCAAACATGAGAGGGACTATTTCAGGAAAAATAGTAAATGATTAGATGACTAATGGCTCACTATTAATAACATGAGGTGAGAATAGGTTGAGATTCAAGTTATTTGATCTTTCTACCTCATTTATTATATTATTGAAATCAGAATTTGAAATAAAGGATATAAAGGGTTTCCAAATACTCTTTAAAAAAAAAAGACAATTTACCTTTCACAGTACATATATTACTGTTCAAGAGTTTGGGGTCAGTACTATTTTTTTTTAAATATAAAAGATTTGTATATTTATTCAGCAAGCATGCATTAAAGGGTTGGTTCACCCAAAAATTTTATTTCTTCTCCTTCATGCCGGTGAACCTGTAAGAATTTTATTCATCTTCGAAACACGAATCAAGATATTGTTAATAACATCGAAGAGCTTGTCGTTCCTCCATTGACAGTCCAGAGATATGTGAATAAAAGCTTAAATCTGCTCATCATATAAAGTGACCAAGTCTCTTCAGAAAATGTGTCTTGCTTCATATCAGTTTTAGGTATTCATATCATATCTCTTTATCTACTATTAAAAGCAACAAAGTGTCAGTTGCAAAGGCTGTCAATGGAGGGACAGAAAGATCTTCAGTGTTGTTCTGAAGATGAACGAAAGTCTTATGGGTTTGGAATGAAGAGGAGTAAATAATGACCATTTTCATTTTGGGGTAAAGTAACCCTTTAAAAATTGATGATAAGGTAACGTATGTAACAAAAGATTTCAATTTCAAATAAATGCTGTTCTTCTAACCCTAACCATCAAAGGATCCTTTAAAAATTTATCGGTTTCCTCAAAAATCTCAAATGTTTTCATGTTAGAATGATTTCTGGTGGATCATGTGACACTGAAGGCTGGAGTAATGATACTGAAAATCAGTTTTGACATCACAGGAATACATTACATTTTAAAGGGATACTCCACTCTTTTTGGAAATAGGCTCCCTCAGAGTTAAATAGTTGAGTTTTGCCGTTTTTAAATCCATTCAGCCGATTTTCTGATATTTAGAAGAATATCTGTAACGAGACAGTTTGTGGTCTCATTGACTTCCATAGTAGGAAAAAAATATACTATGGAAGTCAATATAATGGAAGTCAATGAGACCAGAAAAGTCTGGTTACTGATATTCTTCTAAACATCGGCTGAATGGATTCAAAAACGGCAAGGCTCAACTGTTTAACTCTGGGGGAGTTGTAAAATGAGCCTATTTCCAAAAAAAAAAGTGGAGTATCCCTTTAATATATATTGAAATAGACAACAATATTTCTCAATATTACAGGTTTCACTGTATTTTGAATCAAATAAATGCAGCCTTGGTGAGACTCTTTTGAAAACATTTTTAAAAATCTCACTGACTTCTGAATGGTAGTGTAATTTCCTGGTTGCTAAGAATGTTTTGATACATAGACAGCTACGTTTCCCCTATCACATCTGAGGTTAAGATATGGTTCAGAAACTTCCTGAAATAAGAGAGAACTGAGATGTTCTACAGTATTTTAATACCTGCTCTGCCACCAACTGAGCGATCTCCTCGTAGGTCTTTCCTGCTGCCGTCATCGCGTCTGTGAGCACAGCCTCTCCTGTGGGTCAAACACAGCCACACATTCAGGATAATAAAAGGTTGAACATCTACTGTAACACAAAGACTGCTGGTTGAATCTCAAGCGAGGCGACGGTCCTGCTTCATCACCATAGTGCCCTTGTCTAATCTTTCAGGGAGGCAATACCTGCAAATAATTTACTACTTGTACAAAGTAGCTTGGTACAGGAGAAAAAAGAAGCTAAATAACATTAACAGGGAACAAGAAGGTGTTTGATAAATTTTCTAGACCAGATGGTAAACAGAACATTTTTTTACCTCATTGACTTTAGTAAGTTTCTAATACCTTGATATCCACTGCTGATGAACACGGACGACAGGTTTTGGAAAGCTTTGCCAATGCGTTGATATTCCTTTGGAAGGGCTGAGAAAAACAAGCATAACCTGATCATGATATTTCATTTGTAGAGATTTTTATAAATCACAATACACTCCATCAGAATATGGTTTGTCCATGAACACAGTACAAAATATAAGAAACTGTCACTTTGTTAAATGCAATGTGGAACCATATATACACACATTATATATTAGCGGTATAACGGTACACAAACATGACGGTTCGGCACGTTCCTCGGTTTTTAAGTCATGGTTCAGTATGGGATCGATACAGCAGGGGGTTGCACATACACACATTTGTTTTTTAAAAAATGTGTATATGTGTTTAAATAAATAGCTTAGAAAATTAATTATAATAGATTTTATTAATTAACTAAGCAAATGCTGAAAAATATATGGGAAACTATATATTTATTTAGAGGATAATATTAAAGGTTACAATTAACAACAGCGCCCAAATTATTACATTCAGTTGGTATTTATTTTTAGGTTTAATAATCAACTGTCAAATTTTAAAAAACATGTACTATAAATTGCACATAAGGTGGGTTTTGTATTAACTTCTAAATCTAATTCTAGTTAATTTTCTACTCCAATTCATTTCTGAAATATAATCATTTACACAATGGCTGTCATAACATACATTAAATAATCAAGACATTACTAACAGGTTAAGTAAATATAATGAATAGGCTAATATAGTGCAAATACAAAATGCTTCTGTCTAGAGTTAATTTCACTAGCGAACTAACCTGCTGCCTGAGGGAAAAGTAATGCTACATGAGATAATATTTTCAAGCTGTTTTATTGATATGTTTCCGCAGGTAAAACATTGGTTGAGAGATGTAAACATAACGATCATCAACTTTTTTTTCCTGTGCTTTTTCCTGGCATTAAAGGAGAACTCCGGCGAACAATGAACCTTTGGTCTAATAAAACATCGGTACCTAGTCAACCGTTCTCTTAGATTTGTTTTCATGATAATCGATTGTAAAGAGTTTTTTCTCTAAAACTGTTTAGCGTATAATGCTAGTACTGGGGGCATTGACTAAGTAAAAGAAATCACTAGTTTATACCACTAATAAGGCTCAAAATAGCCCCACACTAACACAGTAACATAATGAGGCTCCATACATGCAAAACGAAGCATTGAGAACTTTGTAAGTGTACAGACCGTTTAATAAGAAGATACTTTATGAAGACAGTTCACTTCGCGTATACAGACAGAAGCCATCTTAAAAAATAGTCTTGATAAGTCGATCCCCGAACGACGTGCTGAGTGATCTGAGCTGTATCAAGTTTAGCGAACATCTGAACTGTATGAACCGCGTTCGGGGGTCGACTTATCGAGACTATTTTTTAAGATGGCTCCTGCCTGTATACGCGAAGTGAACTGTCTTCATAAAGTTTCTTCTTATTAAACGGTCTGTACACTTACAAAGTTCTCAATGCTTCGTTTTGCATGTATGGAGCCTCATTATGTTTCTGTGTTAGTGTGCGGCTATTTTGAGCCTTGTTAGTGATATAAAGTAGCGATTTCTTTTTACTTAGTCAATGCCCCCATTACTAGCATTATACGCTAAACAGTTTTAGAGATAAAACTCTTTACATTCGATTATCATGAAAACAAATATCAGATAACGATTGACTAGGTACCGATGTTTTATTAGACCAAAGGTTAATTGTTCGCCGGAGTTCTCCTTTAATGCATGCGCCCCCGTCGGGACTGAAGTGTGGATCGCCTGTGACTGAATTCATCGGGCGACTACATGCATCCTTCCTGTATGGTTCAGGACAAATACATGTACCGTTACACCCCTAATATACTAATTTAATGCATCCTTGCTGAATAAAAGTATTAATTCATTTAAGAAAAATATCTTAATCTTTCAATATAGAGTGCAACTTAAGTGTCACAATGAGCGATACTCACGGCCCGTGCAGCGTTTCCAGTGTTCATTTCCTATGGTCAGCAAGTCTTTCACACCGTCGTCCATCGTCTTGGTGAAACGGCTGAACTGCTCACATTTATTCTCTCTGATGGCAACAAGACAACATAGATGAACATCTCCATCAAGTGGTTGCTCATTATTATCACCAAATCAGCTTCTGGTTGATCATATCAGCTCGAGTTTGTCAAACTTACAATAGATCAAGCTAATAACCCTCTTGGACTAGCTAGAAGCCATCTTAAGCTGGATTTTCCATCAGTGAAGTGATTCTGTAAGACTTACACTTCAGTCATATCAAGGTCTGGCAGTCCCTCGGGCTCTATCGTGGAGAAGACCATGACTCCGACAGTCTCGTCTTTTTCTGCTTTTCTCTTTCCCGTTTTCCAGTCCTGTAATACAGATGTGTAACAAAGTACTCCGTCTCAAAACCTACTAAGCTGCAACAAATTCAGGTTAAAGATGGAAACACATTTACCTTCTCATCTTTGTAGGAGAGAAACAGCTGGAAGACGTCGCTGCAGGAGATAACCGGATGCCGGCACATTCGCGACATCCAACCCTGAAGCCTCTCCATACGCATTTTTATAAACTCTTCCTCAAATCGACCTAAAAAGTGGGGGCATTAAATCAACCTCGTTTTAATTTCAAACTTCTTTACAGGGAACAATGGGTAATGAAAAGTGCTCACCTGTCACCTGTTTATCAGGCAAGCAGGGGATTGGAATCGCCGACCCGAATTTATCCAAAAGCCTTTCATATAACCAATCGAAGTGCTTGTATCTGTGATTGACAGGCTTGTTTGTGGTCTGCAAAAAGATGGCATGAGACAACATCAGCTGGAATGAAGTTATTCATTTAAACATGAATGTTTCTGTACTTACGGTAGGCGTGACTTGATACTCAATATAACTCTTGAGGCCGTACATTTTGGTGCCCTTTTTAGGGTCAGCGACAACACAGTCCAGCTGATAGTCTGGATACGCCCACACTGGGCCAACTTCTCCCATCTGAAATACAGTATATATACACATATCCCTGTCAGATAAGTACTTTACAGAATGTGATACAGTATATACAAGCCTTGATGAAGTCATGAATATCAAGGAAGTAAAAAAAGCATTATCAATCAAAGCAACAATACTATAAATGACACATTAAATAAGTGACTCACATAAATGGGCAACTTGGTTCCTTTAGCGGCTTGTTTGGACAGCAGGTACAACTCAGGACCTGATTTGGAGAAGCCAGGGAATCTGAAAAGAGAGGATGCGGCTTACAAAGGACAAAGCATGAAATGAGCAAATAATATAATTGCTATATTAATAAACCCGTTATTGGAATCTAGAAATCATACAAGAACACTGTGAAATAGCACATCAACTGGAAAACATGTTATACAGTAGGATTTTTAAATAAAATAGCAGTGAAAAGTGTTGGGAGTAACACATTACAAGTAACATGCATTATATATTTAGATTACTTTTTGATGCGTTAAGGTAGCTCGTTACTTTATACATTTTACACAATATTTGAGTTACTTTTTAGAGTTTAATTAATTTGCATCAACATCTTTTAAACTACTTAATTAAAAAAAATATCTTCATAAAGTAGTCACTTGGGACATGCACTCATGCGTGTGCAAAAACAGACAAAAAGTACAAAAGTAACCAAACACATTACTTTTAACCAAGTAACGCAATTAGTTACTTTTTTAGGTAGTACCATACCGCAATATTGTAACGTACTTTTAAAAGTAATTTCCCCAACATTGATAAATGGACAATGTACATTTTCTTTTTTCAATATTTTAATTAAACTTAAAATAAAAATGGTGTAAATAAGTGAATTTGAGCATCTCGTTTGCTTTATTATGTGTATTATTATGTGACTCTTGGATGTGTGTCCAATCTGTGTGACGCAATCATCCGACTTACTTATTGAGGGCAATTTTCATGGATGAACCGTGAGCTCCGCCTCTGTTCATAGCGCCACCGTCTCCAGCCTCAGATTCAGCATAACCACCCGATGACTTCACGTCATCCCACTCCTCGTCCCATTCATCGTCTTCTGCACCTATTAACAGTCATTAGACACAATTGAAACTAAAAAGCACTGTGAGAACCAGGTGTTAGTAAGCCAAACCCGAGTGTCAGGCCAAAGCAGACATGCTAACTAACCTTTGACAAAGCTTTATTGGCTAGTAGTAGAAATGATGCCACAGCTGTAAATAATATTCAACAATATTATTGATCTGACTGTACTGACACTGTTGTATGAGAACTGAACCGAGTTGGATGATGACATTTTTTCCAGAACTGCTTTATAGATGAAATTAACTAATTTAATAAGCTTTACAACGGAACTGAATCAACACTGAACCGACTTAAGCTGAACAACAGCCTGAAATACATAATTTTTCCTGTTGATCACTTTAAAGCTTCTTCGAAACTATTTGTTTTGTATAAAGTGCTATATAAATAAGTGATTTATTCATTTTCACACAAAAAACATTTCAATATGTTAGTTAGCCACACTGGGGACTCTAGTTAAAGAATACACAATTCACAGCAAGAAAAACCCTTTAAAACAATAACAAACACTCCCATACACATACACAACTGTTGAGCTCATGCAAATTGTTATTAAAACCACATCAAAGTCCTTACATGAATTTCATGATTTACCTGAGAGGTCAATAAGACATGGGTAGGGGTAAATATCTTCAGAAAAAAACGAAAAGGTGATTTTATGTTAAAATAAATATCACAAATATCAGTTCTACATATTCTAAAGTACACTAATGATTGTGCAAGTAAAAATATGAAAGTAAATTAACTCGATGAAAGAGTCATCTTGCTTGTGGTAATAAATCAGTTTTCATGGGAAAACCTCTCCAAAACAAATCTACACACTCTGTTTGCCTTGAAGAAACTTAAAAAAGCTTAATTTTACAGCTTGGAAAAGTTAAATTTCAGCTCCTTATGACTAGAGACGACATCACTGGCAAACTTTAGCCTAACACATGACTCAGCCATAAATTAAATCACGAAACCACAGCCACATTTTCCACACCTAGTTGTAAACAACTTTCATACTTTCATATAAAACAATGCATACTGAATACTTCATATTCCACAAAGCAACTTGGCTTTCCATTTCTGGTGTCGCATAAACCTAAAGTAATATCAGCGATCAGTCTCTTTATATGATCTGACTGCCAAGAGTAAAGAATTGTTTTACACAAAACGTTTTGTTCATTAGTGAATATTACCCAATTTAAATGTAATAATACACAGTAAATTCATGTTCCATTAATGGATTCTTCCTCTCTTGTAAGTTGTTTGGGTAATAAAGAATCAGCCAAGAACATCCATGTAACACAATATACAACACTTTGGCTAGAGCCTCCCTGTTTTATAAATATGCTGGACTGAAACCCTTTAAGAGGAATGTAACAGCTCCCGGGAGGAATAAACATTATTGCTAAGTATTTGTGCCTTCTGGCTATGGTTTTCAGTTTTCCATTTAGGATCTAATCAACAGGACAGAATCATAGAAAGAGACACTGAAATCATTGCAAATATATAACATCCATTAAGACATATTTGTGAACCAGTTTAACTGATTCATTGATCCATAACACATTAACTGATTCATAAACCCATTCAGACATCAAAACAGCTTTTACTCTTCACAAGTGTGAAATTTTGGATAGATCATAACTAGAAAAATGTGAACCCTGAACAACACAGGCTAGCTAAACAGATCATATCATATTCCTTTGGATTCTTTCCCTTATTTTAGTCATTTTCAGGTTTGAGCTGTGGCCTAACAGTTTGAGCACACAGTCTGGGCCTGTTGTTGAGTATTGGCACTCTTGCAGCACACACAAGTTCCTTAATTTTATGTCCTCCTGTCTTTATCCTCCAGAATCCCCCAAATACACATACTGTTTATGTTCTAGTTGCAGTTGTTTAGACCAGTGATAGGTCTTAACCACTAAGCGGCCAAAGCAAACATCCAAGTACGACTTGATTTAACTCTCTGAGGTCTAGGGTGATTTGGGGTCCTTGAGATGTTTTGAGATGCCCTGAAATTTATGCTTTTTTCAGTTGCTTATAAACCTATTAATGGTACAGGTGAAATTACACAGGGCTACCATAATATGTGAGCAACATGTATGTACATGTTTGTATTTTTTGAGAAAATATTGTTTATGCGTGGTTATTGAGGTCGAGTTACGCGCCGCTGCGTTATGCTGTTTCTCCTCCTCTATACAGTAATCTCTCTACTGTGAAGGTTGGAACGAATCGATGGAGAGTCAATTCGTTATGATGCAATCCTTAGCCTATTTTTACAAAAAACTGCTTCTACGGGGCCATAACGTAAGATGTAAGGTAATGAAGCCTTTTATACATTGTCGTGTTTCTTTAGAAATAAATAATGGACAAATTGAGTATTTGGACGCCTCAGATGTAAAGTTATTCGCTGTCAAAGTGACGCCAAAATGAATGGGAGTTAATGGAATGCTAACAGCAGGTGAAGTTCTGCTACAATGGCGGCTCCCGCGAGGCTTCAACTTCTGGTTGAGAACCAATAATTTAGACTGAACAATCAAACATGGGTTAATTCGATTTTGTTACCTGGACCCTGGTAAGCCTGCGGGTGTCCGTGTCCTCCAGAATTCCACGCATTGCTGCTGGTTTTCCCCGTCTCTGTGCCCTCAGGTTGAGCGGGCCAGTTATTAGAAACCCCCCCAGAGGCATTATTGTCAAACGCTGCCCATGGGTCATTACCATTACTTGTCTGAAAGAAGGAAAAAGAACAACAATTTTACAATTCCTCAATTATCATAATTGGTAAAAAAAACAAAACACATTAAATAGAAGCATTTTCCCTAATGGCTTCAGACCAAAAAAAAAAAAAAAAAAACTCTTCAATTCTTTTCCACAGGATGGCAGAAGTCAGTCACAAACAAACAGGGAAAACAGCTAAGTGATTCTGTGCATTTAAATCACGTTCAGCTGGTTCAGGTTTTGACCTGTAGATTGTATACATTATAAATGCACATGCACATCTTTTAACACAAACCACATGTATTGTTTGCCTTTATGTTGAACATGCGTTTTTGACCATTCCCTACCAGTGAAAAGGTCCGTCTTTTTATCTGTAATACTTTCCAAAAGGAAAAAAGCCCACTCACATCCAATGATAAGTGCTCTAATAACCTTTGGTTGTTACTATTAGCCTGAAAAACTCTATTTGGCCAGCTATTTTCAGATGTCAGTCGATACAAGGACTTCTAAAGAGAGCCCACGAAATAGGAAATGTTGAATAGAAAGTGATGTTTACCTTCCAAAGATGGATGCTTTGACTAGTCAACACTGAACAATTGAATCTCAATGGACCTCTGGCTGGCCTTGATGACACAAAAGCCCAGAGCCACAGAGAAAGAAACCATAAGCTCTGTGTTTCTGAATCATCATCTGGCCGCCCACACACATCATCCAGACCTCATTCATGGTATATTCCCATCATAAATCAATAACACATCTGAGAAACTCTAAGCACAAGTGATTTCTGACAAATGCATGTCATGAGAGCTGCAAATATCATTTTTATTTTACCAGAGTCGACAACAGAAATGCAGACAAAGTCCAACACTAGCCTATCGGTTTAGTTTCTACTTATTTGCTCATGCAAAACCCACGTCATGCATCGAGAATGTGGCACCATGCTGCGAAAGACGGTTTAAGAAAGTGTTTAGGTGTGTTTGTGTGGATTGGATTCATGTGTGTCTGGAATTAGGAAATGTTTGTTTTCCTCCTCATCTGTAAGTTGCTTTGGATGAAAGTGTCTGCTAATGAAAATGAAAAATGTAATAAAGTGCATTTGCAAAACTTAATTCAATAGAGGGCATGTTTTGAGCTCATGAACACGTTTATAATTTAGTTAGAAGCCAGTACAAGTGGCTCAAAAAGCAGTCTAGATCATTTAAAAACTTGATCACAGGACAGCTTTTAGTTCAGTTCAACAAGCACATGAAAAATTAAACCGTGACAAACAGAAATTAATTTTAAAAAGCAAATTCTGCAACATAAATCAGCTATCCAACATATGACAAAATCATTGCATTTATGTTTTAAATCTGGCAACCTGTGATGTGATCATTTAGTGCTGATCAGTTTGATTGATGTGTGATTTTGGTAGTGCGCTCAATGGGGTCTGATTCAATCTGAATGCATTCAGACCCCAAGAACAGGGTGTTTATATGTTGGTCTTGTTAGTGAGGGCTCCAGGATTAAACCCTCTGAATCCATCATGCCAAATTAATTTAGGGTACCTCATCTGGTGAGGTGGAAGAGAAGCCTGGGTAACTGGGCGACTGGGGTTTCCGGCTGAGCTACATCCACCTTAGGGGAAAGACGTGACATCATCATAAAGCGCCTGAAAGGAAGGGTTACCCTGATATGACACTAAAGTCAACATCTTCCCTTATCAAACCACTGATTTTTCTCAATAGCAGAGGCACAGCTGAGACCTTCACGCATACACTGAAGGGTTAAAATGGAGACAGTTCGAGATATATTATTCATCAAATGGTTTTGAAAGCCGAGTGCTGACTAATACACAATCATGCAATTTCAACAATCAGCGTCCACTTGATTTATGACGTCTCACTCTCAGACAAATGTTTGTTTCATCAAACCTCAAACACAACTTTAAGCAATTACTATATATACATACAGTATTTCACTACTTGACCACCCAATAAAAAAAATGTCTCTGAGAGAGCTGACTACTAATTACAGATCACAGGAAGTCTGTGGTTAACAATGCCACACATTGAATATATGACTCATAAATATCTTGCATTTCTGCTGTTTCACATCTGTTATTCAGTGATCATCGAGCACATGCAGACTACAGATAGGTTAAAGTCTGTCCCTTGACTGATCAATCAGCTTCAGGCTTTTGAGATAACACCATAAGGAACTATTTATCATCAGGTGTGTTTCAGTTTTTGATTAAACATGATATATCATATACACTTCAAGTACTAATGGTATAAGCTTTTGAAACTT